ATAATATAGACTTCTATGAAGTCGTTCCCCTTTATTTCATGATGGTGTCTTAGATGTACTTTAAAAGAGAATTTCACACTATTCTCTTTGTTTAATGTGACAGTGTGAGAAAGTGATCTTTATTCGTTCAAAAAACTCTGCATGTAGTCTATGTTTAGGTTCTTTTAATGTGTTTGTCTGTGATTTTTAAATGCTAAACATGTAAACAGATAAATTGTCAATGTTAATTCTGTATCCTGTCACACAACTGATCTTTCTTTCCTGCCATTTCTTTCCTTTTTATCTTTTTTTTGCGCATTCATGTTGCAGTTGATAAAATTACGTGAAGAGGTGAGTACCTCCTAGATTCCTTTTTTTTTTTTTTTAATCTTGCTTTTCCCTATAAAATTGTTTCTAAATTTGAAGTGGATCTTTGGGCCCATTTTTCCAGGGAAATCTGCACATAGCAAAAGTATTGATTATACTGGTCAGAAATCTCTGCTAACCATCTTTTATGAAACAACTATATCATAATCATGTTTATCACAGTGATTATTCTTCTTTGTTGGCATTGGAGGAACGTTAATATTTTAAAGGCCCCCAAAAGAAAGAATTATAAAGGAATATCTTTAAACTGTAACTGAGTATAGTTTTATTGTAGGCTTTAACTTCAAGTTCGTTTTGTGTTGATTTCTCAAAGAAGTTAATATGATTTAATTTTTTCTCCTGACATTCTGATTTACTTTACTGAAAACTGTTAAGTAAACTCCCTTCCCTCACCCAAAATTCTTAGGTTCAACATAAGACACCATTAATCTGTTATCCTTTTGGGGAAACATACATTTGTTATAAATGTCCCACTCGTCTGTGTACATAGATACTTAAGAATAGCCAAAGCTCTCGTCATTGTTAAATACTTTTCTTTTTGTAGGAAACGGCACCCAAGTGAGTTCTCATTTTTCTGAGTTTGCTAGTCTGTTTCATAATGCACCTCTAGACTCTTTTGTGGCCTGGCTAATATTTACAGAAATATTTACATTTCATCAGTGAGCAATGCTGAATGATTCTTTTTTAATTATGCCAAACATATCAAATATGTTTCGGTGTTCTTTTTCACAGATAGAGTAGTTATATTTTTTATTTAATGAGGTCTAGTTTTGTTATTTTTCTATTAGGACATAAAATTATGGCCCACATTGCAATTTTAAAATTGTCTAATTTATTATAATAATCAGAGTACTATAAATTATTTTCAAATTTAGATTGACTGCATTGATTGAGATTTTCCTAGTAGTTTTTTATTGGTGTGTCATCATTCTCTAGGTAATGCAAATATTAATTTAGAAGCTTGTAGATAGTGGTTTTTTAACAACTCTTCTGATTTAAGGTGCGTTAGTAACGTTCTTTCTTAGTAAAAGTAATAATGACAGGTGAAATGAAAGGAAAAAATACACAAAAATTCTCACTTCCCACCTTTTTGGTGTTTTTTTATCTTCCCTACATAGAAGCAAATATATATACTAAATGAATATAATCAGTTACTGTTTTGATGTATAAGATTATTCTTGAGGTGAGTGCTATATCAACATCATTCTTCTGTGAGATAGAGTATCTGCTTGTATACATTTGCATATGTTCATGTTTAGGTGAAGAATTTGAATTTTCAGGTGTTAATGGAACTAACAATAGACTTGAAAACCTCTGTAAGAAGAAACTACACAAAGATTGTCCCTGAATTTTAGCAATTAATATGATTAATAAAATCTTGTGCTTTATTACAATCAGAATTTTTGACAGAATATTTATTTTTGTTTAGCTGAATTGTGTGGAATTAGAAATCCTAATTCTAAAAGCTAAAACATTACACTTGCATTTCTTTTAAAATATGTTTTATTATTTGATAGCTTAGTTCTTTTGTTGTACCTGTAAAAATAGTTTCATCAGTTATGGTTATGAAATTCATGTATCCAAAATTGTAACCTGTAATGGCATTATATAATTGGAATAATTAGATCATTCAGCTAATAAAATAATATACTCTGAAATGTTCTTTTGACAGTCTTTGATATGGACATAGATAGCATTGATATTTATAGAATAGGTTACAGTGATGGCAGTACATTGGTGTATGGTTTGCTCAGAAGTGATTATTTCTCAGTCAAGTTTCTAATAGTAATCACACCGTAAATGTTACTCCAGAAATCTTACTTGTACCTATGCTAAGAAGACAAGAACTCATCTGCTCCAAAATATGTTTTGTTGTGTTTGGAAACAAATTATGCCCCATCCCTTCCTTGTGATGCTCTTTTAGGACCCCATTCTGGATCAGGGCATGCTTGGAGGCAGGGTCTTAGTACAGGGGGAGCTGATCTAGCGTTGGCTGTGCCGAGCTCCGTTTGAATTCTGCGTCTCCAGCTCTCCACATTGCATAGCTCCTCACACAAGTTGAGCTCTGTCTGAATCTCCTGCACAGCTTCACTTACCTGCTTTGAAAAGGGCTGAGAAGAGGGTGAGAGAATGAGTTTGGGATGGAGTGTGGGTTCAAGTTGAAAGCATCAGCTGCTACTGTAGTGTATTTCCTTTCATTTACAGAGACCAGGGCAATGTACAACTAAGAGAACAATGTAAATAGTGCAGCTGTTACAAGAACTTGATTTTAGTATGGCTGAAGTGAAGAGGTTCCAAAATACAAAGTAAAATCCTGCTGGAAAGCTTCTGGTAAACTGATAGTTCTCTTGTGTGCAGATTTACTGTGATAAAATTGAACTGTCCTGAAGAACAGTTACTTCCGTTATTTGGGAATATACATTTTTTTAAAAACTTCCATTAGAAATTTTGCTCCCCGTTATAGATGTGGAATCTGAAAAATCATTCTACATTTAAATGCTTTGTTTTCTACATTATATGTTATCATAGAAGTAGAATGTCTGTTTCTAGTATTGATCTTTGTTTTTTCTTAATCTCTAGTAACTAAATGTTTTAATTTGGTTATTTCATCCAATATGAAAATGAACCAGAAATATTTGTTCTCTTATTCTGGATTAAAATTTAGATTTACTCTTGTTTTCACAGATCTGATTGATATCTTTTTAGAGAATCATCAATTTGAAGTTAAGTCCTTTGTTAAGGTAGAAAACAATGTTTGGAGAAGGGAAGAGCAATCCTTACTCTTAAAACCTGCATGTAGGGAGAATTAGGAGTGAGAAAGCTATTTTTGACAATCCTTAGTAAAGTGTTTAATTTTATTTAAAAATAGTCATCAATGCCAAACACATAAAGCTCCCTTTGCTCTTCTTTTTCTCAATTACAGCCTTCAGTGATTTTGGTTTTTTCATGATATAAGAAGCTTTCCATCCTTCCTTCCTCTATTTTATTTATTTTGGGGGTGGCTTTTTTTTTTTTTCACACAAAGGGAGGGGCCAAATTTTCCTTAATTTTTCCACTGTATATTACATGACTCTATTAATTATTGTAGACTGTTGTTGCAGCTTCCTGACCTTCACATCAGGTTCTATCTCTCTGTTCTAAATGCATTGTTTTAATGATTCTCCCCCCCTTCATCCTTCCCCCCAAAAAAATTTCAAGGAAAGCTTTGATGTGGCTTTAGCTGCCTCCAACGTCTGGCCGCATCTCAGATGTGTCACCTATGCCGGGAGGGAATAAGGAAATCACGTTTTGAATGGTAATGATAACATACTAATCACTTCCTTTCTTTGAAGATGGAAGCGAGATATTCTGTCAGCATCCCTGGCTGCTAAAGCTTGGAGGCACTGGTCTAGGTGTATTAGCTTAAGTGTGCATGTCAATACAGCTTGCATCTCCAAGATCCATGGGGGCTCATTAGAGCAAGGTAGATCGTTTCGCTCGACAGCCACTCAGATAATATGTGTGGCACCTCCTTTTTTATTATTATTAGAAAGCATTTCTTCGATTTTAAATGACATCTGTCAACAACACAAAGTTGTTGGAGTTGTGGTTGTTTTTTCTTTCTTTTTGAGCAGGTACCAAAACTGATTTGAGGAGGGAAGTTAGTAATTTATACAAATATACATATGCATCTACACACACACACACACACACACACACACACAACTACATGTATTCATGTATTTCTATGTATCTAGACATACATATATCTATATATGCAGGGATATTTTTATCCATTCACAGCCATGGTTAGCTTATAGATCTAGTGTGTGATCATTATGGCTTAACAAAAAAAAAAAATGCAGTCTCAGTGCATAAAAGAAAGTTTAGTAGCTGAAAATTTGGGGAAAATCCTCTAATTTCCCCATCAGATATAATATAAAATAGGTGTGTATAATTATTATAATTTTAGTTCACAGTCTGAAATACTATGTATTCAAGGTTTATCTTCAATCTAGTGCCATATATTTGGGAGTAAATTCACAATTTTATATATCTGTGTAAATGGAGAAACATGGGTCTCTTGTTTCTTGGTGGTTTGCCCCAAGTTGTCTTAAAACTAGAAGTGCTGTTTAGAATTCTGTTTTAGTAGCATATATTGTTTTATATGGCATCTTGTTGCACATCCAAAATTGAGGAGCATTCTCTTAAAAAGAAAGTTCCTGTTTAAAAATTTCTGCAGGAATCAAGGGAACAAATAGGTTTTTGAAATGATTGCATTTTATAAAAAATAAATACAAATAGGGATCATATATCTATGCAAGTATTTCATACATCTGTCTCTGCTGAAATAGAAAAGATCCAGTTGGCTCTGGTCTTCACACATTTCTCAGTGTTTTGGAGTAAGATTCATTGTGGCCACATACAACATGGGTCTCCTTTTAAAACAAAAAAGTAGATGGTTGATATGTGGTTGATTGGAAATCTATCCATTGTAGTGGTTCCTATAATGGAAGATTTGCTAAAAATTAACTATAACAGGTTATGATCCCCCCCTCAAATGTTAGAGCATAAGAAGGCATTATTTTTAAAAAAGGCAAAAAAAAGAACATTGTAGACGGCCGTCTGATTTTTTTTCCCTTTTTCTTTTTCAG